AAATAATAATTAATAATAATAGCCTTGGAAACCTTACGTGCAGGTCAATTCTGCCCTAGATATGAGTCAGAATCAATGGGACAGCAATAGATTTTTGGGGGAACTCTTTAGGTTCATTTTAATTCTCTATAGACGTCATGCTTGGGAGGGGGGAAGTACAGCGCAAGAGAGGAAGACCCTTGATGAGATGGATTGGTTCAGTGACTGGGGCAATGGGGGTAGGTGTCAGAGACAGTAAGATTGGCACAGGATAGAGCAGGGTTTAGGGCTGTTGTAAGGAAGGTCGCTATGCGTTGCAGGCGAAGCAACGGCACATAACAACAACATTCTCCTCTATACAACAGGCCTTTCACAGCCAATTGTTTGATCTTCCAAGGTGTGAGATTCCCACTAGGCAGGCATTTCAAGACTGGAGAGGGCTCAGCATCCCAAGCTCACAATATGCAGTTTGCACAAAGGAAGGTAGTCGTTAAGCCTTTTGGGACCCAGAATGAGTTTGGAAATGGAGGACTAGAGGACCCGCAGTCACCGGTAGGCTCATCTCTCTCCCTTTTTTTTTAAGAAGGCAGAGTGGATGACGATTGCAGGAGTGGGGATTTGACACACGGCCCGTCCCGTCCCTTAATGGATCATAGGAAGTCTCCCTGCTCAACGGTAAATAAAGTGATTTATCGCGCATGCGCTCTATGCACTTGCGGCGCAGCACCGCCCCTCGACCTAGTGTGACGTCAAGTCCGGCGACGGCGACGGCGATCTGCCCCGAGCGGGGCCGACCCGCGCCTTCGCGGTGGCGCGCGTTTTTCTGACGCTCGCCCCCTCGCCCGGTTCCGCTCTCGGGGCGCCGGCGGGTCAGAACACCGGGCCTCTTCTGCACCACCCAGCGTCACCCGAGAGTGGTTTCCTTTACTGGAGGTGAATGGATGATTGGGAGAGTGGGACCTGAGGTCCAGGAGGAGGCGTGTCTGCTTTCCTGTCAATTGTCGTGAACAGGATTTGTAGTTTACAGAATTCCCTCCGGAGGATGAAGTTGCCCTTTGGTAGTCTGAGAAGTCGGGCTGCACTGCCCTGCATATATCTGCATGTTTCTTTTTAAATAAACTCCCGTAGTCATTTTGCATTTTAATACTTTGGATCTTTACATATTTACTTTGTATATCTGGTCTTGAAAGATCAGAGCCCTTTAATGTTTCTCTTCCTAAACAAAGCCTAGTGCTCCTTGTTACAGAGTTGGCTCAGAGAGTATCTTTTTAACAATGAGAATCTTGACTGTCAAGAAGCCAGCCCTCCCCTCATCTTTGGGGAAGCCACAGGGGTTTTAACCCCGAGGATTTACTCTTTTTCTGCACCCATACTTTAAATATTTAAGTGTGCAGTGCAACAGTTTTAGGAAAATGCATTCCATTGGTTCTGTTATTAAAACGCGAACCTAGTTTGGCATTTTCTTCATGATTTATTATTCCCAGTATTATGAAGGCTCTTGTGTTAGAACCAAAGACCACTAATCTTTGAGCTAAGTAAAATGTTAAATATGACCCCAACATTGAGGGTGGTATCTTTTTACACAACTGGCTGCAATCTATGGAGCAGCTCCTCGGCCAGGTTTATAATTTAATGCGGTTGGTTTGTTGTGGGTTCTAAAACTACACTGTGTAATAAAATTGTATTTAAATTGAAAGTCAAAAGCTTCTGTCCTTTTACTTTGTCATACCTTAATTTTTCATTTTATGAGATGGCCAGTTTAGAATATATGGCTAAGTCAAAAGAATTAAAATAATTTAGAATCCCCTTACCTAGAGATATCCATTGGGACATTTTAAAACATAGTCTTCTAAAGTAGGAGCCCTGCTGCATGAACTTTTCTCCTATTCTGCAACTCTTTTTAGGTTTTGGTTTTAAGTGTGATTGTGATGGTGGTGTTACTAGTTACCCTTAGATTGATTGTGACTCATGGTGAGCTTAGGTGAAGAGCAGAAATGCCCCATGGAGTTTTCAAGGCTGTGAGTTCTCAGAAGCGGATTACCAAGGCTTTTCTTCATAGGCATCTCTGGTAGGTTCAATCTTTAGCTCACAGTCAAGTGCTTAATTGTTTGCATCAGCCAGGGGCTCTTGAGATGGTGATCAAACCAAACTGAACCTGCTGCCATCAAGTTGATTTTGACTCATGGCAGTCCCCCATCTGGTTTCAGAGACTGTAAATATTGGGAGGAGATTGTCTCATCTTTCTCGTGAACAGTAACTAACTCATTGCCTTCTAGTTTGAACCATCTCATCGCTGACCCTGCCATGGGTTTCCAAAGCAGTACATTGTTGGGGAAGAGATTGCCCATTTTTCTCTTCTGAGGAGCCACTGGTGGATTAGAAAAGCCAGAAGGGTGTGATATTTAGGTTAGCATCATAACTCACTATAGACTACCACCAGAGTGGTAGGTGGGTTCAGACTGTCAATCTTTCAGCCAGCACATTTAATATTGAGTCCTGTGCATGAGGAGAATTTACCATGGCGTACCAAATGTTTTGTAAAGTTGGAGAAAACTCTTTGACTTTTCCAAAATTTCATTCTTTGTTTCTAGGCTTACTTTTTCTCTCTGCTTTCTCACGCCTCCAAGAATGAAACATGACTGAAGACTCGCAGAGAAACTTTCGCTCAGTATATTATGAGAAAGTGGGATTTCGTGGAGTTGAAGAAAAGAAATCACTAGAAATTCTCCTCAAGGATGACCGTCTAGGTGAGTTTTGTAAGTTAAACTTATTAGTTACCAGCCCTACTCAGATTTTTAAAATAATTGCTATTTTAAAAGATACCCAGAGGTATTTATCACATGCTGTGTATTTTAGTAATTGGGTGTCAGTAGAATGGTATATTTTAAGAGAAATTATAGATTTTTCTAATGTATATTTCACTGAGTAGGAAGTTTTTAAAAGCCTCTTAACAAAGCAATGTTTTTCTCCCCTCTTATTCTTATACTCTTTCATTAGTTTTAAGGTATGTTGTCACAGCTTTGGGTAAATTTGCAACACCTTTGGCTAAACTTTTCCTTAATGGACATACTAAAACTGTATTATATATTCACATTTTGATGATAGCAATAAGATCTGTTCTACTGTTGACTAAGATAAAATAAACAGGACCTTAATATAATACTTAATTTAATATAAAATAGTATATAATAGGTACAGACTCCTTTTAAAGTCTTAAATAGAATTCTTATACGATAAAAGGTTCAATTCTTTTTGTGTGTTTTGTGCTTTAACTATATCTATGAATTAATATTCTCAATTGACAAATCAAGATTTCCAGTATGGAACAAGCGAGAGAGGTTTATTTGAGGCCTAATTATGACATTGTCTAATCCATGTTAACTCTGTCAGGTGTTAGCAGTTACCCAAGAGTAAAGCCCAGAAGGCAAGAAGGGGTGAAATAGGATTAATGGAAATGAGAATTATAGAGAGAAAGTGGGGAAAGTGCAGTTACCTTGTATTGCAATTAATGTTATAAAACAAAATGTATGTGAAAGATTGAATGAAAAATTGGTTTGTTGATATTTTGTTGTGCTTAAATGACAATAAAAAAGATGAAAATAGTGCAGTAGGCTTGCTATGTGGATTAAGTGAAAGAAATCCTAGGGAGTGGCATCCATTCCTAAACCACATGCCTGTGGAAACTCTATGAACATAGAGAAATAACGATAGTTATAGAACAGGGTTCAGGTCTTTTGTTCGTAGAGTCACTATGAGTTGTGCTTCACTTGATGACACAATGATAACAATAACAATCAGTCATGATACAGGGAATGTAGTAATAAATACATCTTCTGTGCCACGAAACACAATTTCCCCCCCCCCAAAAAACCCCAACACACTGTTGTGTTACAAATTCAAATAAAACATCTACGAAATAATTTTGTGATAATGATTACATTTTTTTAGGTATAAGACCATTCTTAATATCTTTTTCTGAATCACTCTTCCATTTGGTCTAAGTTCTGTGCCTCCTTAAGCAGTAACTCTATTTCATCCTGTCTCTTCACCCCGGTAACCAATAATAAGCTTTGGTTTCTGTATGTTTGCCTATATCATGTGAGGGAGGCCATATCCTAGTTATACTTTTGTGATTAAATTATTTCAGTCTGCATACTGTTTTCAAGGGTTCACTTGTATTTTGGCCAGTAATTATTTTTTAAGTTACCAGAAGACCTGGACTAGAAGTTAGGTTAGGGTTACCTTTTCTACATTTGGCTGAATGTATGGCAGACTTGCCTTGAAGAAAAGTTTTGTTATATACCTTCTGTCAAAAAAATTAAAAAACACATCTACATATTGTGATCAATATATGAAAACTCCTCATTGTTTTCCTTGTCTTCTAGATATTGAGAAACTTTGCACTTTCAGTCAGAGGTTCCCTCTCCCATCTATGTACCGAGCATTGGTGTGGAAGGTACTTCTAGGTAAGTAATCTAAATCTTATCCATCAGTAAAAGGATTTGTCTCAGCCCTTCACTGAATGTTGGATCTTCCTCGAGACTCAATTATTCCTCACTATGAAAGCCTTTAAGAAGGTGACTTGAACAGAAGTATAAAAACTATTACTCTGGAATGTCAATTTCTTAAGGAAATAAGAGAAAGTTTATCAGTGAAATAAGCAGTACATTAACTGTTACTTTGGAGTATTGATTTTTTTAATGAAATAACTGTCAGTTTATTAATGAAACAAGAAACAGTATAGTCCTCATTCAGGATAAGGAAAGAGCTGCTAAACTGAGAGATACTGGTTCAGAGTGAGTTTGCTGTCATCCAGGTAACTTTATGGATGGCCCCACAAGGATTCCTGTTTTATATTTAGAAAATTATTATATCAAACTAAATTATTATGTCAAACTAGGTTTTATATGATTCCCACCTATTAATTTACTGATGAGGAAATTAGAGGCCTTGGGTGCTGACCAAATAGTTACTAACTTGAGTCTACCAAAAAGCACATTGGAAGAAAGGCCTGGTAATCTGCTTTGAAACAGACACTGTTGAAAACCTTGTGGAGCACAGGTCCTCGTCAACACATGAGGTTGTGTAACAGGAACCCACAAGCCTCCACTGAAACAGTGGTCTCCCACTTGGAAGGTAAGAATTCTGCCACTCAACCACCAGTGCCCTTAGGTAGATAAGTTAATGAACACAGAATTTCATAGAAACACAATACATGGTCAATTTATCAGTGAAGAATAGGAATTTCTAGTGCCCTAAAAGGAGATACTTTGGGAGCAAGTTATATTTGTTACACAAAAGAAGAATTTAATATGTAATGGTGGTTCTTTGGCAGAACATAAAGCCAAAGGAATTGATGGAAGACCAATTGATATCTTTCACCAAACAGATGCAGCCCTGGATGTGCTCACCACTCTACCAACTTGCCAACTAACCAGAAGAGATCCATTATTTGTTCACATTCCCCCCAAAAAAGATATCATAAGATGTGGAAATTATCTGGCAGTATCATTAATATATCAAAGTTAAATCTTGCTGAAGATTATTAAAAAACATGTTTCATCACTTCTAGAAAAGAAGGCGAGGAGCTCTAGTGGCCTAGTGGAAAGAAGCTGAACTGCAATCCCAGAAAAGAAGGCAAACCGTATTATTGATTAAATCTCTACTATCATTATTTTTAGTAAAAATAATATATTCAGTTTATTTAATAAATGCTAAGTATTGTCTATAGGGGAAAAAAATATGACTAGAACGTCAGTAGGAAACTGCCAGAAGTCCAAGCTGGATTCAGAAGGAGCTGTGCATGAGGGATATCATTGCTGGTGTCAGATGGATCTTGACAAAGAAAGGTGTTTACTTATATTTTATTAACTAACCTATGGCATTTGTCTGTGTGAACTATAACAAATATGCTACTATTGAGAGGAATAGGAATCATAGAACTTCATTGTGCTCATTAGAATCCTATGTGTAGACCAAGAAGCTGTTCTCCAAATAGAACAAGGGAATACTGCATGGTTTAAAATCAGAAAACGTGTGTGTCAAGGTTCTGAGGTTTAGCTTCTATGTGTGAAAACCCAAGAGGCTTCCGTGAGCCTAGAGCAACCCCTACCTCACAGCCTAATTGAGTGAAGTCATTATTATAATTGACGGAGTTATCTATAATTTATCCCACATATTAGCACATAGTGTCACAGCAAGTCTCAGACGACTCAGTGGCACATAACAACAAAAGAAAGTTCAAGGGCTTTTCTGATGTCGTTGAATTCTTTTTAATAGCAGCCATTTAATTTCCATCTCCTCCCATGCAATTAATTAATTGACTCTGAAAACCTGCCAGAGGGTCAGCCATGGTCTTGATGGTGCACAACAATAACAACTAATATTTATAATAATTAAAAATTTAAGATTGTTTTCTCATGATAATTTCCTGAGCATCTATATGGACATTAAATACTTTCGCAGGTTCTAGTCTAATTGTGGTGGGATCCCTCTCTTTATTGAAGGAGGGGATTGGATTGGCATCTGAGTCACTTGCCCTTTTGTTTTTGTGGCCTCCATGTAGGGATCCTGCCTCCGCACCATGAGTCCCATGCCCAGGTAATGGCGTATCGCAGGGAACAGTACTCTGATATCCTTCATGCCCTGCAAGTCATTCGCTTCGTCAGTGAAACCACACCTCAGGTTGAAGTCCATCTCCGTATGTATCAGTTGGAGTCTGGGAAGTTGCCTCGAAGTCCCTCTTTTCCTCTGGTTAGTCATTGCTTTTTCAGTTGAACTCTTGACTGTTCCCATCTTGCTAGTGTTTTATTGGTGCCCCTCCCTTACCTATAGGACAACACAGCTTTTCTTGGCATTAATGGTCGTTCCTATTCTAACCCAATCTTCCACATATGTTGTTGTTGTTATGTGCCATTAAGTTGCTTGTAACTCATAGAGACCCTACAGCAGCTCCGAACCCTGCTCTATCTTGAGCCAATTTCATTGTCTCTGACACGCCAACCCCCATTACCCCAGTCACTGAGTCACTCCATCTCATCCATGATCTTTCTCTCTTGGGCTGTCTCTCTACCCTTCCAAGCTTTATTTATAATTTTTAAATTAATATTTTGTTGAATTTTTGGTAAAAGTGTACACAGCAATTTGGTTTCCTATTTGAGTTTCCGCACAGATTGTTCAGTGACTGTTGAATTTATTACCATGTGTCAACATTCTTTGTGTTGTGTATTTCCTATTTCCAGTACTCTCCTTTCCCTGATCCCTTCCTTATCTTCTCATTTGTACTTTTAAAAAATTTATTTTCATTTAGTCATTCATATACATTTTGTTTTAAAACATTAAGTACAATTGATCAGTACTATTTATTACAGCATCTCATCAAATCCTTACTGTACCTTGCCTTTCCCTTCACCCCACCCAGCCATCCCCTGACCTCTGCTCTCTTCTCTTACCTCCCAGTCTTCCCCTTCTCTCCCATTCTAGTCAACCCTCCATGATTGTTTCTGTGTAAGCCTTTCCTTAGCTTTGTTTTGTAATCAGTCATGCAAATCTTGTTCCACATTGTTAATGACAATATACTCAGTGCCTGATTATTATCCATTCATCTCATGTTGTTTTTCCTATTTATTGTCTATCCATTTATTTCCTTTTTTCTTCACCCTTTCCCCATAACTATCCTTGATTCATTCTCTCCCTTTTTTAAAATTTTATACTGGTTTACTTACAAAGTTTGTATACATTGTTTTTCACACCAGATCTTTCCCCCTTCCTTTACTCACCCCACCTCCACCCATCAAATTGTACAACCATATGATTAAGCCCCCATCCCCCGTCAATCCTAATGCCTCTGCTCCCCTATATTTTTCTTTATGAGAGACTGAGTTCACTTAGCATAAGGCTCTACAATCTCTCCCAAGTTAGGTAGTAATTTACAAAATCATTGCTCCTGTGTGCTGCATAGTATTTGATTGTACCATAATTTCTCAGTTCATTCCATTGTGATTTGACATTTGGGCTGTTTCTAAGTTCTTGCTGTGGTGAATAATGCTGCTATGAACATTAGTGTACAAGTCTCTGTGCTTTAGTTCTCATTTTCTCAAGCACTCGATTAGCTGGGTCATGTGGAATGTCTGTGTTCAGCTTTCTGAGGAAACACCAAGCTCACTTTTCAGAGTAGCTGTACCATTTTACAATCCCACCAACAATGTTTAAGAGTTCCTGTCTCACCACAATTTCTCCAACATTACTTGCTGCCCTGCTTGATTGATTTTCTTAATATATAAAACCCTTGTCTAGTTTTTTTGTGGTTTCTTTTGTTGTTACTTTTTGTTTTAAACGTTTTTATTATTTGTTCATTTATTCCTACTTTCTTCTCCTTGCTCCCCTCATTCTCCTTTTAAGATTCTTAATTGTCATACACATGGTTTCTGGTTGTCCATTCCTTTCACAATGTCCTTTCTCTTACTCCTTCCAGTGGAGTGTTCAGTATCTATTCTTTTTCTGCGTTCCCTTCCCCGAACCTCCAACCATCTTGATCCTAAATGGGCTTATGTAGTATTTATTGCATGTGTGGTATTTGGTTTTTTAATATACCAGGAGTCTTATGTAGTATCACTCAGCATAATGGCTTTTATATTCATTTATGTTGTGAAGTGTTCACATGTTTTTCACTGTTTTTCGGTGTCGTGTTGTATTCCATTGCGTGAATGTCCCACAGTTTCTCTAGCCATTTATTTGTTGATAGATACTTAGACTGTTTCTATCTCTTTACTATTGTGAATAATGCTACAGTAAATATAGGTATCCATGTATCTGTTCATGTCATAGCTTTTATTTCTTTAGGGCATATTTCTGGTAGTAGAATACTTAGATTAAATGGGCCTTCTCTTTTCAACTTTTTAAGGAAATGTCAGACTGCTCTCCATAGTGGTTACACCATTTTACATTCTCACCAACAATGTCTCAGCTCTAATCACTTGACACCCTCACCAGTATTTGTTTTCTGTCCTATTGAACTTTGCTATTGTTGCTGGGGTGAGATGATCTGCATTGTTGTTTTGGTTTTCATCTTTCTGTTAGTTCATGATCTTGAGCATTTCTTCATGCCTTTGTTGGCCATCTGAATTTATTTATTTATTATTAGTATTATTTTTTAATGTGTGTACCATCAAATCGGATCTGACTGGAACAGGAGGTAATTGTTCCTCCATCTTCAACAGAGCATCTGGTGGATTTGAACTGCGCACCACTGGGATTGCAGTGCAGCTTCTTGCCACTAGGCCACCAGAGCTCACTTGAATTTATTTTTTAGTCAAGAATCTTTTCTTATCTTCTGCCCATTTCATAATTGAGCTGCTTGTCTTTTTCTTGTTGAAGTGCTGGAACTCTTTAGAAAGTTTAGATAAGCATCCCTTGTCAAATGGATTACTACCATTTTTGGTGCCTAGTCTGTAAACTTTCTTTTTATCCTTTTAGAGACATTTTCCAGTGCACTCAAAGATTTAGATTTTAGATCGTCTCATCATCCATTTTATACTTTCCTTTATGTACATTTTTGTCTATGATTAAAATCTACTTATGCCATAGATCATCAGGGCTCCTAAATTTGTGACTGTTTTTTTTTTCTAATGAACTTTTTTTTGGTTTGTTTTTTGTTTTTGTTTTACCCCTAGATTCTTGACCCACTTTGAGTTGGGTTGGTTTTTTTTTTGTTGTTGTTGTTTTTTTGAGTTGTTTTTTGTGTGTGATGTAAAGTATGGGTCTTGATCCAATTTTCTTTTTTTTTAATCCAATTTTCTGTAGATAGATGTTCAGATTTAACATCATTATTTGATAAAGAGGCTATCCTTTTTCAATTTATTGGACTTCATCTCTTTTTCAAAGATCAGTTGACTGTGCGTGGATGGATTGATTTCTGGATCCTAGATCTGTTCCCGATTACCCCAGTCACTGAATCGATGCATCTCCTAGAGGGCCTGCCCTCTCCTCTCCCAAGCATGATGTCTTTCTCCAAACACCGGTCTCTCCTTACAGCATGACCAAAGTATGTCAGACGAAGCCTCAGAATCCTTGCCTCCAAGGAACAGCCTGGTTTAACCCTTTTCAGGATGAATCTGTTTTCTTAGCAATCCATGGTACCCTCAATACTCTTCTCCAACACCAAAGCTCAAAGGCATCAATTCTCCTTCTATCCTCCTTAGTCATTGTCCAACTCTCTGATGCATTACAAGTGATTGCAAAGACCATGGCCTGTATCAGATGCACTTTAGTTTCCAGAGAGACACCGTTGCTCTTCAGTACTTTGAGATTGGCACAGGACAGAACAGAGTTTAGGGCTGTTGTACATAGGGTCGCTATGAGTCGCAAGCGGCTCGACAGCACATAACAACAACAACAACAGGTCTGTTCCATTGGTCTATGTGTCTGTCTTGGTACCAGGGTCATGCTGTTTTGATTACTCCAGCTATGTACTAGGTTTTGAGATCAGATAGTATGATGTCTCCTACTCTTGATTTTATTCCTGGGGCTTTATTTATCTTGGAACTCTTCCAACTTTATTGAAAAATGGTGTTGGAATCTGAATTGGGATTGCATTAAACCTGTAGATTGCTTTTGGTAGAAGTGTCATTTTCACAATATTAAGTTGTCCTACCCATGAGCATGGCATACTCCATATATCTAGGTCTTTTTGTTTCTTGTCATAGTGTATTATAGTTATCTTTTTATAGCTCTTTTGTATCTCTGATTAGATTTGTTTCTTAGCCTTTTATCTTATTAATGGCTATTGCAATTGAAACTTGTTTTCTTCTTTCCTTTCATAGTTTTCTTTGCTACTGTAGAGAAATTTGACTGATTTTTATGTATTTATCTTATATCCTGCCACTTTGGTGAATTTGTCAACTAAGTCCAACAGTTTTCTTGGTGGATCATTGGTATTTTCGGCGTGTGCTATCGTATCATCTGAAAATAGAGATAATTTCCCTTCTTTCCCAATTTTGATGTCTCTTCTCATCTTACTGCTTTGGCTGGGACTTCCAATACAATACTGAATAGAAATGGTGATACTGGACATCCTTACCTGGTCCCTATTCACAAGGGACCTTCTTTCCATTAAGAGTGGTGTCGGCTAATAGTTTTGTATATATGCTCTTAATTATGTTAAGGAAATTCCCATCTGCGTCTGATTTGTTGAATGTTTAAATCAATAATAACAAGTATTGAATTTTGTCAAATGCTTCTCTTTCTCAATGTAAATGATTATGTAGTTCTTTTCCTTTGCTTCATTGATAGATTACATTGCTTGTCTTTCTTATGTTGACCCATCCTTTTACATACCTAATATGAATCCTAGCTCATCATGGTGAATTATTCTTTTTATATGATATTGGATCATATTGGATAGGGTTTTTTGCATGTATGTTCATGAGGGATATTGATCTATAGCTTTCTTTTTCAGTCATGCATTTACCTGGTTTTGATATCAGGGCTTGCTTCAGAGAATGAATCTGAGAGGGCCCCATCTTTTTCTGTGTCCTGAAATAACTTAAGTGAGATTGGTAACAGTTCTCTGTGAAGCCATTAAGACAGGGGCTTTTTTTGGATACTTTTCTCGGGGTGGGAGGTGGGGGGAAGGGACGTGGGAATTGTATACTAATGAAGGAATTTTTTTCTTTTTTTTTCTCTCTTCGGAGGGGGAAGTGAGCTGGTGGGGAGGGGTGGGAAGGGAGAAAATTGTGGCAATGAATGAATGGAAA